CCTGTGATATCAGCCTCAGTGTCAGCCTCACAATATCGGGAGAAGCAGGAGCGAAGCATTGAGAGTAATCCTGTTTCATCCGAAATAGTGATGTATTCTATAGTCCTCTCATGAGCTCATCAATCGTGACAGGCTTTCGTACTGCGTTCGAGAATCCTTCATGAAAGCTTACCCAAATACGGTTCGCATCATTTTTCTCGTCGCTTTGCCTTTGCTTGATTTGTTGTTCCACGCTAACAGGTTGAACCTGGATAACGCGACCAAAGAAGTCTTTCAAAACCTTTTCTTTAATTTCAAGTGGCTTTGCTTCTTCTTCTTCTTTCTTGCTGTCTTCGTCATCATCGTCAAATTTCCCACCCCGACGTCGTCGGGCATCGGCATCTATGCGTGCACTCTCTCGTTTCCATTCCGATTCTAACACGCTACGGACTGCGAATCGGACTTTCTCTTCCTTCTTTCCATCGAATGTTTCGAAAGAGGCCAGCTGATCGAGAGGAGGTTCCATGCGGAACACCCAGCCCCCGCCGCGATTTGCGAAATCTTCGGTTTCGACACGGCTTCGCTCGAACCGTACCCCAGTGGCCGCCATGGCCTCTACGGCTTTCTTGACCAGGTCCTTTTCTGAAGCTTTGCGGACGGACGCAGTAGCGGCAGATTTGCTACCAGATGGGCCAGTGTTCACGAGAACAGGTTTTACATCGGGTGAGAGCATGCGTAAAATGTAAGGAAGTAGCTCTGTAGCGAGCTCTCTAGGTGAACGAAACATGCGAGTCAAGGGTAAGCTTAACGTCGATTGAAGTTCCATCAATTGAGTACGGCTGGCTTTGAGCTGCTCAGATGCAGTATATGCAGCTGCAGGCCCAGTGAACGGAGCGGGAGCAGCATCCGGATCTACCATGGGGTTTGCGCTTTGTTGACGAGAAGAGGCGAAGAGATCGTGAAACGCGAGGACGGATTGTGAGAGGTACGGTGCTAGCTCCCATTCTTGTGAGCCATGAACAGCAGATGAAATCGTGTCGTGGAAATGTAACCATTCGTATGCTGCACAGGGCTTGCTCAGGATTGTATCGTCATCAAACGGCTTCTCGGGATAGGCACCGAAACAATCTGTCCATCGATTAGTACTGAAGTCCATTGTGCTCAAAAGACATACCAGTCAATATGCGGTCCGTATCACCGCTCGTGTTAATCATATCCCGCAGCCTGTCCATAGCTCGTCTCTTGGAAGCTTCTGCGACTCCAATAACACCTTGTTGTCCGGGTCGGGCCATCCCTTTCTGCACTGTCCTAGGGAAGCCTGCTCCCTCGCGGAATACACGATCAACCACATCTTTGGTACCGCCGCGACCAAGACTACGAGCAGCACCGCCGCCGTGATTTAGGTCATTCAATATATTGTCTTCAATCCACCGCCTGCTTAGCCGGGGTGCCTCGGATTCTTTCGCTGCGGCTGCTCTCAAACGGCCTGCAACCCATTCACCAACGACCATGACACTACGAATATCGCCTTCACCTGTGCCAGTACCATTTCCGCCTTCCTTTTTGTTACTAACACCCCATGTTGCTTCGCACATTCGTCGAACGCCATCGGAATCTGCGGGAATGCCTTCCTTGTGAAAGATGTCGTGGATGCGAGACACTACCATATTGAGGGCTGGCTTACGAATGTGGATAACTTCGGCATGTGAAGATTGTCGAAGAGGACGTAATGAAGGATGATAGACATCGTTGCAAACCAGTATGAGAGGGCGAAGCAGCCGAAACCGGTCGCCCTTCTTTTTCCTCTTTGGAGCGTCCGAGGCGTGGTGTCCAGCTGTTCTTGAGTTTCTCTCATCCAAATTGATCAGATCTATCAATGCCTTGACGAACCCTCCTTCGCCACCGCCCCCACTGCCACCAACCACACCGTCTACTTCATCGACAACAACACAAACTGGCTTTCCGGCTTTTCGAACTTTTCCGCTGGCCGTAGTAGTGTTGATTCCGCGCACGTTTTCAGTACCAACCATATCGCGTATTCTGCCCTTGACCACATTTGCACTTCGCTCATCGGATGCATTGATCTCTTGCACCTCATAGCCGGCCTGTCGCGCGCATACGTGAGCCAGAGTGGTCTTTCCAAGTCCAGGTGGTCCGGTTAGGAGAAGAACTTTGCGATGTTTGTGCTCATCATCATCGCTAGGTTTCGTGCCCTTCTGTTTTGGTTTAGAAGTTCCAGGGAATACAATTGGGTCCCAACCTTTCAGCCAGCGAAGAACAGATCGATGTGTTCGCTCATCACCGACAAGATCGGTAAATTTCTTTGCACGATATTTCTCCGTCCACAAAAGTGTGCGATGGGCTTTCCCTGATTTGCTGTCTTGTAACTGCGGCTCTACTGAGCACTGTGGTACGTCTCGTGCTTCTTCTTGGCGTGCTTGTGCCTTTATCTCATCCATTGCCTTTGCCTCATCCAGCAGGCTGTGTATATCGATGCCATAATAACTCTTCGTCGCCTTCCCTGCCACGACCGTTGAACGAGATGCGATGAGCTCCTCATACGATACCGAGGGCCGATTGACCTTCTTAGATATATACATTGTATGGCCAGAGGCAGTTCGTGCGGTGCAACCAGGATTTGATTGGGCTGATACGGGTATTATCGCTGGGGCAGGTTGTTTCCTGGGCGATGGAGTCTTGAGCATGTCATTTAGCTCATCAAGATTAACAGACTCTGGATCCGCAACCTCTCCTTGGCTGGCTGGTGGGGTATAATCTGCGAACGGATCGTTGGGGGCGGACAGATCGTTGATATTGGGAATAAATCTTCGTTTCTGTTTCAAGGTCGCCAGTTCTTCCTCTTCTGAATCATCCGAGTCATCTAGAAAAGCGCGTCTGTGCTGGGGAGGTTGGTTGGCCTGCCTATCTTTGAGAGGACTACGTTCAACATCTGACCGCTTCCGCTTGTTTGGAGATGCGGCTTGCGGTGCTGAGCTCGCAGGGTATGTAATGGGCGAGGAGGCTACCGCCATAGTGGGGATGGGAGGAGAGGATGGGAAGATATCAGTGGGTTCTTTGAATAGAAACTTTGAGGGCGAGCGGTTTGTGCGCTTGATCGGGGTGTCTGATGTTGTGAGTTGTCCGCCATAGGATGTCGTCAGCAGGTGCACATACCGAGAGGTCGCTCTTCTTCACTCCTGAACGCTTCCGCGGTATTCCAGGCTCTGTGTTGAATTACAATGCCTAGTTCAGTCTTTTTCTGGACGTCCTCTTTAATGCACTGCGCAATGGCTTCGAGTTCGTCGGAATGAGAGACAGAGGCAGGCGCGTCCTGGAGAACTTGTAGATCGGAGTGTAAATATATTGCGGGATCAAACGAAGTAGGTAGTTGCGGTGAATAGTCACTCATGGATTCGAAGTGGAACTGGGAAACATCGTGCGGTGTGAATGGGTGAGCAGCGCGGCGTGTCGAAAGGGTTGACTGACGCGAACGCGTTCTCGCGTCCACGCTAGCCCAATACAGATCTGGCGTGGAATTCATTAATTGGCTCTTGCGGGGCACTGAAGTCCGAATAGATGGTATGTACCTACTGTCACTCTTCCTTCATTTTTACTAATAGCATTAGATTACTTACATTATTTTTCCTTCTGCGCGTTCCATTTCTGAAAATGCCTTTTCAAGGAGGATGTTTTGTTTCAAGCCTTTTAATATTCTCTTTTGCCTCGGCGCAAGAAAACCTGTGTGGGCAAATTCCAAAGAATCATGCCCCTCGGGGGATAGATTCCATTGTCGTAATGGGGCAACAACTTGTATTGTACTATCTTCAAATGATAGTTTCTTGTTGAAGCATTTGTTTTCTCTCTAACAGCTCTCAATTTCCTGCGTGCAGCTTGTGCCCTGCATTTAGACAAATCCTGCCGACTAAGGGTTCTATTCGAACATTCCGGAATTCATCCCACAGTGAATAGTCATACTGTCAGCATTCCTTAAGATATCTTCGTGTTAACCAAGCTCGTATTGATGCCTTTTCTCAGTTATCGACACGAATCATCCGGTAGCAGATACCTGTCAATCACTACTCTAAACCCAGTGCTCATCGCTATGTTCACTGCCTTCGATCTCAATGTCTGTTCTCCTACCAGCCCATTTCGTGAAACAGCTTCATCTTTAATGCCTATAACGTTGGAATGCTAAAGATTTTCGTGCAGTAGACGCAATGTTAAGTCTAATCTCTAACTCCTAGCACGTTCAACAGGATATTCGCATCTGCGTCCCGTTCCAAATCTTATACTAGTTTATCGAGTGTATGTAAGGGAAGTGGACTTCATACGGCTCATGCACTCTCCTCTCGCATCATCAATACGAGAAACACTTACCTACATTGAGATGGCGCAGTACCAATATAGCGATTGGTCTACAATTTTAAAGTTATTGAGGTGCACAAGCTCACCCCTCGCTCACATGACAAAATCTACATATTCACATGCCTCTTCTGTCCCTTGATTTCTTCCAAAGTTACACAAACATTAAGTGTCATAAAATGAACGAAAAAGTTCGAAAGTGATGGAACTATCACCAAATAGGTCATTGCAAGCATCAGAAGCAGTGTTTCAAATGTAAGAGCATTTTCAGTCTGGGGACGATTTTCAAATGTCAAAGTGCGGCAAGGTTTTTTTTCGCGCCGAGCTTTGGTATATTTTGAAAGGTTGTAGTGTCGGAGCACACTGTATTGTCGAGTGACAACTTATGTCGGTTGTATCAAGTTCCACACAGGGCTGCCACAAAAAGATCCCACACCCGAGATCGGCTACGTCCACCTTCGTATTGTTCCCCCGCATAAGCGAATCCCACCTGGGCACTTGGGCCAAGCGAGGAGTCATATGTCGAAAATTCGCCTGTGGATCCGTAGATGCAGCACACAGATGGTGATTTCTGACTGGCTTGTCGAGACAAGATAACTAGCGATATGAATTATTTTTACGGCCATCATCCCATCAATCAGTCAATAAACAATTGAAAAAGCTACTTGGCGCAGGGGAAGCGCGCCGGGCTCATAACCCGGAGGAGTATGTTAACACCCTTGACGAAATTCACAAGCGATGAACTAACCTTTCAATAGCGCCAGATCGAAACTGGCAGTAGCTACATTGTCCACTTCTTTTTGCATTTCTTTTTTGGTCTTTGGAACACTGAGAAAAGTGGGACAAATGTGGTGGGGCTGGGAGATACAGATGGTCACGTGTGGTTGGGTCGGTCGGATTCTTGGGCCGAGGCACGATACTATTTGTCTTAGCACTTGGCGGCGGAACTGATCAATGACACTGAATCTTGGGTTTTCAGCAAAACTCACTTTGAGCACTTAGGTAAACGAATACAGATCAGAATGGAAATATTTGATTCGAGTAACAATCCACGAGCTTTACGCCCCATTACCACTGACTTTAGGTATTCGTACAAGGAAGCCACCACCACTTCTCTCCCTTTACGCTAACTCAATCGCGCATATGGCTCGATCCACGACAACACCCCGTCCAAACCATCCCAAATCGTATGTCTCCAGTAAATGAACGCAGCTCCGATGATCGCTACTCCACCAGGCATCAACACCATCAGGACCAAATACCGCACCATCGTACTCCAACTCCTCGTCATCTGTGCTGTCATGGCCTGATTTTCCTGCATCAACGGATACGACTCCTTCGGCACCGGCTTATCCAGAAACTCGCACAGCGGTTTCCAGCCCTGCTCGGGACCCAGTTCGAGTAAATTGCCCGCAGGAACATAGGCTCGGATATTATCGTAATGCTCTTCGTACGCTTTCTTTGCTTTGGGCCCGCCGTAGTTGTTACCGTTGTGGACGCGAAAGACAGTGTGCAGGAGATCGAGAAGTGGGGCCCAGGCAGTGACGCCTAGCACGCGAGCGTAGTGGAACAATTGCCAAGTGAACATTTGCCAGATGGAGGATTGCATGCTGTGTTCCCATTCATCGTAGGGGCGATTTGTAAGGATGACTTTCGCTTCTGGGTAGGCGTCGATGAGCTGTTTCCAGAACACGACTGAGGGCACATCGGTTACGACGTCGTAATCTCCGAGGAGTTTGTCGAAGTCTTCGCGGTTGTAGGCTTTACGCGTGCGGAGGTGCGAGGGGCGCTCGGAGGGTGGGATGAGGGTCAGAGTGAGGGCCTCTTGCCAGAGAGGAATTTGTGACGGGTTGGTTAGGATTTCGCGCATTTGGTGGGGAGTATAGTCGAGTTTGCGTAGGGCGGCAATGATCGAGGATGTGCCAGTGCGACACATGCCGAGGACAAGAATGCGCATTGGAAGTTTGCGGACTCGATCATCGCGATCGATTTTGCGGAGACGCAGGGGAGGATACTTGGATGGAGGTGGTTCAGTTTGTTTGGTCAGGTTCGTGGTTTCTGGATTTGAGTCTGCCATCGTGGATGCTCTTGGATCGCAAACCTATCTACTAGGTGCGACGAGAAAAATAGATTCTTTGAGCTGCTTCCGAGGGACGTTGGTATGAACATATGTATACGTTCCGAAAATTACCTGGGCACAATGCAACGGATGGATTAGGCTAAAGTAACGGGTCGGAAGGCCCGCGAAGCGTCATGCGGGAGGCGAATTAGAGCTTTGGACCAAATGTTTGGAGCGGCGGGTCTTCCAACTCGCGAGGCTCTTACCCGGCCTAACATTGTGCCCAGTGCCTGGGAGTAAGTTTTTGAAGAAGGTATCCAACTCCATGGCACGAATGATGATGTGCAGGATATGGCGCCAAGAGATATTGATTGCGAAAGCGCCCATAGAAACACACGACTAGTTCGAGCCAGGTATGAACCAGGTAGGCGGAAGATGATTGTAGCGAGGATAGATCTTATTTCCGCGTCTTTTCAACCTCTGCCCAAAGAATTATTTCTCAAAAGATCGTTCCAACTCTGCACGAAATGGCCAGTCAAAATCTCCATTTCTCGCGTCTCGGGAGACTGGGAATCCGCCATGAGTCGAAATTGATAGCTCTTATTTGCCCACAAAGCAGCCGGTTCCCATTGTTGGAGGCTAGCGTGGCATACAGCGGCAATTCGATACGCTCTCGCATAGTAATCTGCCAACTCTTCTTCTTCGACCAGGCTAACCAACTTTTTGCTCTCTTTGGCCATGCGCTGGGCCTTTTTCTTAGCTACGACAGTCTCGGGCCTCTTGAGAGTTATTTGCGGCTCCAAATCGAAAAACGCTTGCTTGATCGCCAGCCTTCTTTTGTCGCTGGCGGATCGAAGATGCTTCGTACCGCAGGCCTCACAGGCGCAGTCGAACCCGTAATGGTCCAGCTGCTTCTGTCTATCAGCGTGGGTAGCGAGTAGTGAGATGTACGAGACGCTGAGTTCTTCTCCTTCTTCAATCTGTCTTGTTGCATACACAACCCTCCTCTTCTCTTTTTCGTTCCAGAAATAACTCGTATTGGGTCGGCAGCTGTGATTGATCCTCGCAATTTTTGGGAACAAGCCTACTTTGTCGCCAGAATTATATGCATTGCTTCGGAAAATAGAACCTAATCGGTCATAGTCAGGCGAGTTCACGTCCTTGCCATTAGCATAGCTGGATAGCAACATAATGTCGGCTCTTGCTTCCTCGGAGAGCAAATCAAATTCATTTCGCACTCTTTGTCGGACCTCTTGTGCATTGTAGCCGACGCCTTCGTGGAGCGTTGGCAGTTGGATTATAATGACGGGCTCTTCTCTCAATATCACATCGCCAGATCTGAGGGTCTGGGCTGCGAAAGCACCGAGTCCTTTTCCTTGGCTCGGGGCAATCTTGTACATCTGACTTCGAGTTGGGCAGGTGTAGTTGTCAGAATGCCATGACGGGATGCCATACGTGTATTGAGACCATAAGAGGGGGATGCTACATGTTAGGGGGGGAGAAGAGAAGACGACAGAAAGAAAGAACGACAGCGATATCAAACGAAGAACAATGGGGATCATGACGGCGAGAAAGATGCAGAAAATAGCCAAGGAACAAAAGTTCGCGATGGCCTTCTTTTATGTTGCGAGCAGGACGCGGAGTGTCGACGTGAAACGCGTTTCAGGATAGATGCATTGCCCCTGATGAACGCCTTCTTGATTCTACTCCAAGGGAAGAGAGTGGAATGATTATCACCCTACAGATATGAATGAACTCTCGCAATGCACAACTTAGAGGGAGTTCAGAGTCTTTTGAGTTTCGATAAAGCGAATATGCAACTCGAAGGTGCTAAGAGCGCCTGTGTCAACGAATCGCTGGTACCACAAGAGAAGGCATTGGTCGTGCATCCTCGTGTTCGAGCAAGAACGAGCGAGAGAAGCAGACCTCATACTGTGTAAGTGCAAAGATCCACATCTCTGTCGATCTTGGATTATGTCAGAAGCAAAAGATGTGGAAGAGAATATGCCGTTGCCAATCCCGAACTGCGAAGTTGTCGGAAAAGCAGTGCGGAAAGAAAGCCGCAGGACCGTGCGGGATTCCGTTGCCGAAGTCGCAACCCCAGTTATCGTTGGGGGAGGGGTCGCCAGCAACCAACCCCCATCCTTCTTGCCCATCCACAACAAGCCATTGAAGGCGGGGAAGCGTCACTGTGTGTGGGGCTCTTCATGTTCCTTCTCGTGATAGCCATACATCCGCCATGAATTCCCTCGGAATCAAAAGCCGTACATACTGTGTGGCTAGTCCCTCCCTCCTTCATCCCCCTCTCTGCCAGCCTTCGTCGTGTGTTCGCGCCTCAGATAGGCCCTAACACCAAGAACATGTAAGACGTCATCCACAACTGCTGTATAGACCGAAGACTGACCGATTTGATACTTCGATAGGGTTTACACTACATCTTTCGCCTTCTTTGAGGCATTGTGGGAAGCTGGTGTAACACATGTCTTTGTCAACCTAGGTTCCGACCACCCTAGTATCATAGAGGCCATTGTCAAAGGTCAGAATGAGAAGAGAGATCAGTTCCCCAAGATCATTACATGTCCCAATGAGGTACGTTCTCATCGCATAGCATGGTACCTCGCTATATATTTCACACATTGGCTTCCCTCTTGCTAATTGTTACAGATGGTTGCCCTATCCATGGCCGATGGCTATGCTCGCCTCACAGGAAAGCCTCAATGTGTTATCGTTCACGTCGATGTCGGCACCCAAGGTCTCGGAGCTGCCGTACATAACGCGTCCTGTGGACGTGCGCCAGTACTTATATTCGCAGGGCTGTCGCCTTTCACGATTGAAGGGGAAATGAGAGGGAGCCGAACCGAGTATATCCATTGGATCCAGGATGTGCCAGACCAAAAGCAGATTGTTGCACAGTACTGTAGATACACAGGAGAAATCAAGACTGGCAAGAACGTCAAGGTGAGCTGCGCAGACCATGTAGGAAGCTGAACAAGAGACTGACATTTGTCCAGCAAATGGTCAACCGAGCTTTGTCATTTGCTACGAGCGATCCCCAAGGTCCTGTATATCTTTGCGGCGCACGAGAGCCCATGGAAGAAGATCTCGAACCCTACAATCTACAACAGGAGTATTGGAGGCCGGTAGAGCCTGCGGCCTTGTCTCCAAATGCCGTCAGAACGATAGCCGAAGCTCTGGTCGAGGCTCGGGAACCATTGATCATCGTGGGATACACTGGCAGGAATCATGCTACAGTGCATGAATTAGTCCAATTGGCGAATCACATCAAAGGCATCCGCGTATTAGACACAGGAGGCAGCGATATGTGCTTTCCAGCGGATCACCCCGCTTGGCTAGGGCTTCGCTATAGTAACGAACCAGTCATCAGGGCTGCCGATGTCATCCTTGTTGTCGACTGCGACGTGCCGTGGATAAACACCCAAACCCGTCCAAATGATACCGCAAAAGTCTATCACATCGATGTTGACCCTCTTAAACAACAGATGCCGGTATTTTACATTAATGCCTTGCATCGCTATCGCGCCGATTCATACACATCTTTCGCTCAACTCAACGAATACATAGCCTCCCATTATCAAGAGAGGCTATCCAGCAGTTTTTATACCGATCGATGGAATGTATTAGACGCCTTACACAGGAGGAAGTTGTTTGACATAGCTGCTGCGGCCGCAGCCTCGGTCAACGACAAAGGCCACTTCGGGACTCCC